TGTGTCTAGAACAGGGCTGTCCAGTCCAGTCCTGGAGGGATAGTGTGTCTAGAACAGAGCTGTCCAGTCCAGTCCTGGAGGGTCAGTGTGTCTAGAACAGAGCTGTCCAGTCCAGTCCTGGAGGGTCAGTGTGTCTAGAACAGGGATGTCCAGTCCAGTCCTGGAGGGTCAGTGTGTCTAGAACAGGGCTGTCCAGTCCAGTCCTGGAGGGTCAGTGTGTCTAGGACAGGGCTGTCCAGTCCAGTCCTGGAGGGTCAGTGTGTCTAGAACAGGGCTGTCCAGTCCAGTCCTGGAGGGATAGTGTGTCTAGAACAGGGCTGTCCAGTCCAGTCTGGAGGGTCAGTGTGTCTAGAACAGAGCTGTCCAGTCCAGTTCTGGAGGGTCAGTGTGTCTAACACAGAGCTGTCCACTCCAGTCCTGGAGGTCAGTGTGTCTAGAACAGGGCTGTCCAGTCCTGGAGGGTCAGTGTGTCTAGAACAGGGCTGTCCAGTCCTGGAGGGTCAGTGTGTCTAGAACAGGGCTGTCCAGTCCAGTCCTGGGGGTCAGTGTGTCTAGAACAGAGCTGTCCAGTCCAGTCCTGGAGGTCGGTGTGTCCAGGACAGTGTAAGCTGCACATTCCCTGACGAATGAGGCCGAATAGGGAGTCTTTCCCTGCAGGGGAATTCCAGCTCCTGGAAGAGCAGGGAGCCCCTGTTCCTCCCTGAAATACTGCTGCCAAAACACACCCCTCTCGACACCAACAACTCCAATATTTCTACACAATCCAATCACGTCCGAACCTTCTGTCGTTCCCGAGATTCCCAGGGGGTCAGAATCCGAGGAATATCGTCTGCAGATTCCCATATGGAGAGCTTCCCATTCCCACCACATCATCCCCACGGAGACCGGATGTGAAGAGGAACCGTGCGGTGACCTCTGACCCTGTGCATGGTGGGCCAGCACGGTTGCTATGGGTTACAGTCTGGGGCTCTGTTGGTGTAACCGGGTCCAGTATTGGCAGGTTCTGTGTGTGCTGGCCGTGTGGTCAGGTGTGCCCTTGTCTGGGTCTGGGTCCAGTACCGTCGTCAGCGGGCCTGGGCGGAACCGGACTCGGCTCTGGGGCAGTCCTGAAATCCTGGTCCGA